TCAACAAGAAAATTCAGTGTTTAAGCTCAAACCTCACAGCTATGGTATCAATATAGACTCATGAAAATTAACCTCAGACATTATCAGAATTTCACAACATCAGTTCAGACAAACGAGCAATAATGTAATCCAATTATACCTATGCAATGTCATGCCAGAATGTCATACAAATATACTTCCTAAGATTCAATCAAGCAAGTTAATTGGGTAAGCACATTTAAACCTGAGAATTGCTTCAGAAATATATTTCCAATTTTTTTTTTAAAAGAGCAACATAAATCAACAACTAACTAAAAATAGAATGAAAAGAGTTTAGAATATCCCCACTGGTAGAAAGAATTGCAGTTCCAGAGTGTTTTCCTAATGCCTACCATTCCCAGATTTAAAGAATTGTTGTCCCCAGCAATATTTAAACCCAAGATTATCGAAATATCTGCACTATGGAATAAACAGCAGTATATAGAATAAACTATAATCCGCACAATAAAAACATCAGAATGTATGGGACATATACCAACCTACATCATCTAAATGACCCTAACATCAACCTATGGTCATAATAAAACAACAAAAGTTCTAAAAAAGATAAACTAAAATAAAGAAAATAAAACAATCTCCAGCAGCAAGGAGATATAATCAATCCTCTATGTCATCTCCCTCAACAGCATGGGATGACTCAGCAAATGGAGGAACTGGTGGTACTGGATGCATCGGTGCATGAGCAGCATCTGGTGCTGGGTAATATGCAGCTGGGGGCACAAATGGGTACTGTGGCTGGAATGATGTATAATCCACGCCCCCAGCCTGAGCTAGTCCCTCAAGGATGTGAGTCTGGTAACTGTGATGAATGGATATGAATTCCATCTGCGCCTGCATGCGCAAATAACTCGGCGAATCCTCATAAACTAGCTCATGTGGTGGAACAGGTACTGTGGAAGAAGATGCAGCAGCTGGTGGAATCGCAAGAGCACGGGGTGGAAGACGTACTCAGGGTGCTCTAGGAGATGCAGGAGTATCAAGTCCTATAGTTCCAGTCTTGGACACTAGCTCATAATCATCCATAGCACAAATATTGATATAAGTATTAAAATTCATAGTAGGATCAGGAGCAATATCTAACTCTTCCTCTTCAAAAATCTCCAAACCTGCCTGGACACACAAATGAGATATCAAAGAAGCATGTGCAGGAGGTGCTCCTTCCTATTATCCCGTGCCATATTGCAAATACGATCAGATAAAATAGCTGATATATCCAACCTCTCCAACCCGGTCAGAATATATAATAGTGGGGCCCGCTCCATATTAACATCAGTAAGATTAGAAGAAGGAAGGACATTAGAATTCACAAACTGATGCCAAAACCTACACTCACCAGTCAACTCTTTCATCCGTAGCTTGTCAGGAACAGTAGCAGACTTAAGCTTCCATTTACAATAGGAAGTAGTGATTGCTTTCCTAATCATATCAGCAAGCATAGGTATCTCCTCTCTATACAATAGTCGCCCGGTTGTTGGCATCATCTTGTTGAACAGATCAACATATTCTCAAGGACCAACAACATGGTCATAACTAGTCTGAAGAAATCTCTCTATAGCCTCAGCAGAAAATGACACATCAATCCCTCTAACCCGGGACATCCTGGTCTGATCCAATTCTTCCAGATTAGCATTAGCACAAAATTCTTTAATAATGGCACTGGAAGCAGGCTCAGCATAAGTTACCAGAACTTCCCATTGCCTTCTGCTTATGGTCCTCATGATGGGATTATCCTCATGCATGCTCAAACTAATATTTCTTTCCCGGATGAAATTCTTGCTCTCATATTTATCATAATATCTTTCCTAAGCCTCTGCAGAAACAAACCAGAAATCATCAAAAGATGCAAAAGCAGAAGTCTTAGCCCTTTGGGTACCACCAGTTTTTTTCTTAGACCTTCCAGCTTGTGAACCCTGAAAATCAGAAGAGTTTCCCAATGCACAGAGTATGACAATAGAGCAATTAGATCACAAGTAATCAAACAGGAAGTATATAACAAACCACCAATCCCAGATTTCATTCCAACTATATCTCAAGAATAAAAATAGAATAATTCAACAGTTGAAATCAAATTCAGAAAACAGAATGTCAACTCATCTTAGCATACAACTTAGCAGTTTAAACCAGATAGTCAACATAGCAATAAGTTCAAGAGAAACCAGTAACTAACTAGAAAACAAAAATTAACTAATACTAACTAACTAACTAGAAAAAAAAATAACAAAAAAATAAAAAAAATTAACAAAACAATTAAACAATTAATTAATCAAAAAATAACTAAAAGAAAGAAATACAGAAGACTTACCCGTGAAGCCATGTGAAGAAAAGAGAAAACTGACAGTTAAGGAAATTGAGAGAAAAGGAAGAGAAAATGAAAGAGAGAAATGGGAGAATTGAAGGAAAAATGGGGAGAAATAAAGAAAAATGGTGCGCAGCCTCATTATATCTGGCGCAAAATATATATATTTTTCTCTGCAGCGCGGGTAGCGCCACACCGGCGCTGAAGTCGTGCCAATTCTCTATTTTCCCATATTCTGGCGCGACCCGCGCTAGTTAATTTTTTTTTTAAATAACATAACTCTATATTCGGTTACCTCCCAATGAGCGCTTGTTTAACGTCACGAGCTTGAAGTTACCTCTTTCAAGTGTTGTTTTCTCTGAGAGACAGAGTCTCGGTGTCTCTTCTCACAGGTCCTCATTTATAGAACTTGAGTCTAGCTCCATTGACTTTGAAGGGTCTATCATCATCCAAGGGAGATATCTCAACTGCTCCATAAGGGAATACTCTCTTCACCACAAACGGACCAGCCCACCTAGACTTAAGCTTGCCTAGAAACAGTCTCAGGCAAGAATTGTACAGTAACACTTGTTGGCATGGTTGAAATTCCTTTGGACTGATCTTTCTATCATGCCACTTCTTGGTCTTTTCTTTATAAACTCGGGCACTCTCATATGCAAATAATCGAAACTCATCCAGCTCATTCAGTTGCAGCAATCTTTTCTGAAGAGCTTTTGTTGGTTCAAAATTCAAGAACTTGGTAGCCCATAAAGCCTTATGTTCCAACTCCACAGGTAAACAGCAAGACTTTCCGTACACCAATTGATAAGGAGACATACCTATTGGAGTCTTGAATGCAGCTTTATACGCCCAAAGCGCATCATCAAGCTTTCTTGCCCAATCCTTCAAGGAATTCCCAACAATCTTCTCAAGGATTCTCTTCAACTCTCTATTTGACACTTCAACTTGCTCACTAGTCTGGGGATGGTAAGGTGTAGCCACCCTATGATTCACTCCATACTTTGCAAGCAAACTGTCAAACTGCTTATTGCAAAAGTGTGTCCCCCCATCACTGATATTATCTCTAGGGACACCAAACCGAGTGAAGATGTTCTTCCTAAGAAATTTCACCACCACTTTAGCATCATTGGTGGGAAGAGCAACAGCCTCAACCCACTTAGACACATAATCTACAGCCACCAGAATATATTGGTTGGAATATGATCATGGGAATGGGCCAATAAAATCTAATCCCCACACATCGAATAGTTCTACCTCCAATATGCTATTCAGAGGCATCTCATCCTTGCGAAAAATATTTCCAACTCTTTGACACTTGTCACACCTCTCAACATAGTCCCTAGCATCTTTAAACAATGTTGGCCAATAATAACCACTCTGTAAAACTTTTTGAGCAATTCTATTACCTCCAAAGTGACCTCCATAATCTGATGCATGAAAATGCCACAAGATCTTATGCACTTCAAACTCTTGCACACACCTCCATATAATTCCATCAGCACATTAGAAATATAAGTACGAGTCATCCTAATGAAATCTCCTTGCATCCCGCAAAAAAAATTTCTGTTGCTGCCTAGTAAGGTTAGGAGGCAACTCTTTTATCACCTTATAATTGGCAATATCCGCAAACTAAGGAGGCACAAAAATAGCCATCACTCTCTCATCAGGGAAAATGTCATTTATTTCTTTTTCTGGACCATCTTGCAATTCCTTCTCCTGAATTCTTGACAAATGATCTGCCACCTTGTTTTCTACACCAGACTTATCTCTGATCTCCAAGTCGAACTCTTGAAACAAGAGCATCCACCTTAGCAAACAAGGCTTAGCATCCTGCTTAGTCATCAAATACTTGATAGCAAAATGGTCAGTAAAAACAATTACCTTGGAACCCAACAAATAAGACCTAAATTTGTCTAGTGCTTACACTACTGCTAGCATTACTTTTTCGGTCGTGGCATAATTTACTTGTGCCTCATTTAAAATCTTGCTAGCATAGTATATGACATGTAACAATTTATCCTTACGTTGGCCAAAGACTGCACCAATGGCATAAGCACTAGCATCACACATAAGCTCAAAAGGTAAACTCCAATCAGGAGCTACAAGGATAGGAGCTGTAGTGAGCTTTTCTTTCAATAAATTAAAAGCTTTTAGACATGCATCATCAAAGTTAAATTCAGAATCCTTTACTAAGAGTTGGCTTAATGGTTTGGCTATCTTAGAAAAGTCTTTGATAAATCTTCTATAAAATCCAGCATGTCCTAGAAAACTTATAACACTAGTCACATTAACAGGATGGGGAAGTTTTTCAATCAACATGAGTTTTGCTTCATCAACCTCAATCCCATTCCCAGATATTTTATGGCCTAACACAATCCCCTCTTGTACCATAAAATGACATTTCTCCCAGTTAAGTACAAGATTAGTTTCTTGGCATCTTTTTAAAACATTAGTTAGATTATGCAAGCATATATCAAAACAAGAGCCAAAAATGGAAAAGTCATCCATAAATACCTAGAGATTTTTCTCCACTATGTCAGAAAATATTGAGAGCATGCACCTCTGAAACGTAGCAGGCGCGTTGCATAGACCAAACGACATTCGTCTATATGCAAATACTCCAAAAGGGCAAGTGAATGTTGTTTTCTCCTGGTCCTCCGGTAATCTACACAGGTTGCCTCACAGGTTTGACATCATCCTTCATGAGAATTTTGTGAGTACAAAAAGAAAGATTTATACCCTTCAAATCATAAATGGACCACCCTATGGCAGTCTTGTGTTTCTTTAGCACTTCTATCAACCTCCTTTCCTGCTCATAAGACAACTCCTTATTAATGATAACAGGGTAAGTCTCGTTGTCACCCAAGAAGGTGTATTTAAGAGTTTCAAGCAGCTCCTTTAACTCTACTTTTGGGGCACCATCTTCTTTGTCAGAATCTTTCTTCTCAAGAACCTCAAATACAACACCTTTTTCTTCCTCAAAGGGAACAAAATCACGCGCCTCAAGCTCCTGACTAGGAGATTTCTCTTCTTTCCCCACTTCTTCTAAATCATCAAGCCTGAAACAATCACCTTTGTTAGAAGATTTTCTCATAGAATCAAAGACATTGATGGTGAAGGTCTCATCATTCCTTCTTAACTCAAGCTTCCCTTGTTCAACATCAATCATAGCCCAAGCAGTAGCCAAGAAAAGCCTACCCAACAAAAGAGGCATTTCAGTTTCCTCTTCCATGTTCAACACCACAAAATCAGCTGGAAAAATAAACTTGTCCACTTTCACAAGGACATCTTCAATTATACCATTGGGTTTCCTCAAAGATCTGTCAGCAAGTTGCAAGGAAACCATAATAGTCTTAAGCTCAGAAATCCCCAAAGATTTACACACAGACAAGGGCATCAAATTTATACTCGCCCCAAGATCACACAAAGCTTTGCCAACATTAGTGTTACCAATAGCAATTGGAATATTGAAGCTCCCTGGATCACAAAGCTTAGGAGGAAACTTCTTCTGTATTATTGCACTACACTCCTCAGTGAGTGTCACAGTCTGGCATTCTTGCAACTTGTGTTTTCTTGATAAAAGGTCTTTCATAAACTTGGCATAATTGGGCATATTAGCCAGAGCCTCAACAAAGGGAATATTAATGTGCAGTTTTTTAAAAATATCAAGAAACCTGGCATATTGCTGCTTCTGAGCATCTTGCTTGAATCTTTCAAGATAAGGTGCCATAGCTCTCACATAACCAGGACTAATCTCATGCTTCTTCTCAACAATTACATTCTGTTCTTTCTTCTTTTCTTTTTCTTTTTCAACTGGCTTCACCACTTCAGTAGGTTTTTCAATTTCCTTTTCAGGCTCACCTTCCTCATCAAGCTTCTCCTCAACCTCAGGAGATGGAAGCACTTTACCACTTCTGGTCATTATAGCCTTGCAATGCTCTTTGGGATTCACAATAGTGTCACTAGGAAATGTTCTTGGAAGTCTCTCAGAAACTTGCTTGGACAATTGACCAATTTGAACCTCCAAGTTCCTGATAAAAGCATCCTGATTCTTGTTGTGTGCCCTAGCCTCATTGATAAAAGTATTTGTTGTCAGAATGTGGTCATTTGTTGTCTTAGAAAGCTGTAACATAGCTTTCTCCAGCTCAGAAGGCTCCTTTTGTGGAATAGGAGGAGGTTGCAGATAGTTGTTGGAACCATAGTCAAGACCACCTCCTTGACCCCTCCTCTGAAAATTGCTCCCAGAGGCAAAGTTCTGATTTTTTTGAAAATTTTGTTGGGGCTTTTGTTCATACCAAACCCCATTCACTTGCACCTGCTGTGGATTAGCACTCATTAGACTCATGAGCTTCTTTACAATATTCACAAACCACAGAAGTTGATTGAACCTTGGACACATGCAATTTCTCAAACTTTTCATTTAGGCTATCAAACTTCTTGGACAACAGCTTTTGTTCAGCAAGCATAGCATCATTGCTCTCCAACTTTATCACTCATCTTTTTGCTTGAACCGGTAAGCTCTCATTCTCATTTCTGGCCAATTTCTTTATTAAATCAAGAGCTTGCTCAGATGTACTCTGCCGAATAGAACCTCCCGCTGCACTATTAAGCACCAACCTTGTTTCAGGAGAGATGCCATTAAAGAAGATCGCCACCTTTCTATCATCGTCTCCCTCATAGTGCGGACACTTTCAGATAAGTTCCTGGAATCTATTCCAAGTTGCACACAACGATTCTCCTTCAAACTGGCAGAAGTTGGTGATCTCATTCACCAGCTGGTTGTACCTCTCCATAGGAAAGAACTCGGCAAAGAATTTGGTTGATAAATCTTCCCATGTCATGATACTATTAGCTGGTTACCTTTCCACCCATCTGAAAGCCTTTCCCTTAACAGCAAAAGGGAACAATCGGAGCCTGATAGCATCTGCAGACACTCCATTGTGCTTAGTAGTGTCACAGATCATCAGAAATCGACCTATGAACTCATGAGAATCTTAATCCTCAGCACTAGAAAACTGAGCCCTCTCTACCAAAGTAATTAGAGCTAGCTTCAGCTCAAAATTGTTTGCCTCCACCACTGGCCTGAGTATACTTGAATTTGGCCTTTTGAACACCGGAGTCAGAATGGTGTCCAACAATCTTGGAGGTGGGTTATTTGTATTGTGGCCTCTGCCACCAGCATTGTTACCATCCGCCATCTCTTGTATTGGTTGTACAGGTACACTATTGAATTCTTCCCAAATTATCTGCTTGGCAACTTTCCTCAGTCTCCTCTCAGTCCTTGCAATTTCAGGATCAATCACAAAGTCTTTAGGAACAATTCTACCTCGCATAAAACTCAGAAAAAATGGTTAATAACAACTGCAAAGCACAGAACAAGATAGAACTAAAATAAAAATAAAAATCCAATCTCAAAGATCAACGATTATTTATAATATTGGAATTAATAATCCCCGGCAACAGCGCCAAAAACTTGATGTTCACCGGCAAGTGTACCGATCGCACAAGTAATATAGTAAGTAAGTAAAGTATTGTCTCCACAGGGATTGTAAACCAAGTACTACAATAACCTGTCCCTTTAAGTTGGAAAATCCGGTTGTTTTTGGAAAATTGTGAATTGATGGTAAAATAAAGATAGAAAGTTTAAAAATATAATTCTTAATTTAATAAACAATGGTAAAGTTTGGATTTTTGAGAGAATAATAAGTAAACATTGCAGCTAAGGTACACACACCATATGATCCTTGCTTTAAACTTTGGATTTATTAACAATGCTCATTCATTTTAATAATTCAGACAATTTATCATCTAAATTCCTTGGTAATCTAACCCTTTAATCCAATTGGAACCCTAATTCCTTAGCAATCCCGCATGAAATTAAGCATTAACCACAATAAATTAAACGACTGCAATTCACACAAGTCTATCCCTAGAGCATGCATAAATTGTTACTTTACCCCCTTTTAGAATCAAAATTGATGAACCCTTAGTTCATCATGGTTTTTAGCAGGAATTAGGATCAAATTGTGTGATTAAATGATGAAAAACTAGGTTAATGTCCTAAGATGTCCTCAATTACAAGTTCAAGAGCTTTATTGGAAATTTGTATGATTCTTATAGGAAAAGCAAGCTTGAAAGACAACTGGAGAAGGAAGAAGATTCTGGAGCTCAAGAGGAGAAAAATTGCCTAAGTGTTGAGCGCTAAAACGTTCACACTGAGCGTTTTAGCGCCCTGCTACAGGAAGAGGCCAAAACTTGCTGGTGATGAGCGCTAAAACGTCCACACAGAGCGTTTTAGCGCGCTGCTACACTAAGAAGATGGAAAATTGCTGGTCTTGGTCGCTAAAACGGCCTGCAATACGCGTTTTAGCGCCCTAAAGTGGAAAAAGATTCTGGTCTTCACCGCTAAAACGTCCAAATCAAACGTTTTAGCGTTGGAGTCAGTTAAAGTTAGTTGAGCATTCACAAAGTTTGGACGCTAAAACGGTCATTCCTTAACGTTTTAGCGTTGGAATCAGTTAAAAGCAGTGGAGCATACATAAAGCATGGACGCTAAAACGGTCACTTATGGACGTTTTAGCGCCCACATCAGTTTTCTATTTTTAATTGTAACACTATATAAGGAAAAGCCTTGACACTTAGAAGATATCTTGATTTGAGGGATCTGAACTCTCTCTCTCTTAAACTTAGTCTGACTTCTCTCTAAATTCTCTTAGTTTTTGTATTAGGATTTCCTTGTAATAGTTTGGAGATTGAAGACTTTCAACATGGAAATGAAGTTTGTTTCTTCTTCTCTTATTTCTTCCTTAGTCATGTCTGAGTAGAGTCTTTGTAGACTGAATGCAATAGAACTCCATGATAATACTATGTTGATTTGATTAATATGATGAAGTATTTTTCATGTGTTGATTTGAGATTTTCTGATTTAATTATTTCTACCAAGGAAGTAATATAGAACAGAGATGTTTATATGACTTCTGTATTTGATAATCTCAACATCAGAATTCTAGTACTCAAGGGATTGATGCTAGAATTCTGATGTAATCTTAAAACTTTAGTAATTCATGCATGTATTAAGAAATAGATCACCAAGGGATTGGGGTTTCTGATTAATGTATCCATCAGGGTAGTAAGGGATTACATCCTGATGATAAGTAAAAGGTTGATTAAAATCACATGGAAAGGAATTCATTATATGATCAGTTTTTTTTACACAGGTTATTATGGAGGAAAGTTGTTTTCTGACTACTTGTTGTTTTATTAATTCCTAATCCACATTTACTTTGTGTCAAATTACTTACAATCAATTTTCTGGTGACAATTTATTCATGATTTTTACAAACTTTTATTTGATTCAAATTAATTTTCTATGGTATATTGGTGTTTGAACACAATTCCTCGTGGGAACGACCTTTACTCATCATTTTATTACTTGTACGACTAGTGCACTTGCTAAACGTCCAACTGTGATGAACCCTTAGTTCATCATGGTTTTTAGCAGGAATTAGGATCAAATTGTGTGATTAAATGATGAAAAACTAGGTTAATGTCCTAAGATGTCCTCAATTACAAGTTCAAGAGCTTTATTGGAAATTTGTATGATTCTTGTAGGAAAAGCAAGCTTGAAAGACAACTGGAGAAAGAAGAAGATTTTGGAGCTCAAGAGGAGAAAAATTGCCTAAGTGTTGAGCGCTAAAACGTTCACACTTAGCGTTTTAGCGCCCTGCTACAGGAAGAGGCCAAAACTTGCTGGTGATGAGCGCTAAAACGCCCACACAGAGCGTTTTAGCACGCTGCTACACTAAGAAGATGGAAAATTGCTGGTCTTGGGCGCTAAAACGGCCTGCAATACGCGTTTTAGCGCCCTAAAGTGGAAAAAGATTCTGGTCTTCACCGCTAAAACGTCCAAATCAAACGTTTTAGCGTTGGAGTCAGTTAAAGTTAGTTGAGCATTCACCAAGTTTGGACGCTAAAACGGTCATTCCTTAACGTTTTAGCGTTGGAATCAGTTAAAAGCAGTTGAGCATACGTAAAGCATGGACGCTAAAACGGTCACTTATGGACGTTTTAGCGCCCACATCAGTTTTCTGTTTTTAATTGTAACACTATATAAGGCAAAGCCTTGACACTTAGAAGATATCTGGATCTGAGGGATCTGAACTCTCTCTCTCTTAAACTTAGTCTGACTTCTCTCTAAATTCTCTTAGTTTTTGTATTAGGATTTCCTTGTAATAGTTTGGAGATTGAAGACTTTCAACATGGAAATGAAGTTTGTTTCTTCTTCTCTTATTTCTTCCTTAGTCATGTCTGAGTAGAGTCTTTGTAGTCTGAATGCAATAGAACTCCATGATAATACTATGTTGATTTGATAAATATGATGAAGTATTTTTCATGTGTTGATTTGAGATTTTCTGATTTAATTATTTCTATCAAGGAAGTAATATAGAACAGGGATTTTTATATGACTTCTGTATTTGATAATCTCAACATCAAAATTCTAGTACTCAAGGGATTGATGCTAGAATTCTGATGTAATCTTAAAACTTTAGTAATTCATGCATGTATTAAGAAAGAGATCACCAAGGGATTGGGGTTTCTGATTAATGTATCCATCAGGGTAGTAAGGGATTACATCCTGATGATAAGTAAAAGGTTGATTAAAATCACATGGAAAGGAATTCATCATATGATCAGTTTTTTTACATAGGTTATTGTGGAGGAAAGTTGTTTTCTGACTACTTGTTTTATTAATTCCTAATCCACATTTACTTTGTGTCAAATTACTTACAATCAATTTTCTGGTGACAATTTATTCATTATTTTTACAAACTTTTATTTGATTCAAATTAATTTTCTCTGGTATATTGGTGTTTGAACACAATTCCTCGTGGGAACGATCTTTACTCATCATTTTATTACTTGTACGACTAGTGCACTTGCTAAACGTCCAACAAGTTTTTGGCGCCGTTGCCGGGGAATTTGTTTTTCAACACTAACTGATACTATAGAATTCTGAGATTGAATCCTTTTATTTTCAGTATTTTAGTTTATGTTAAGTTTCTGGTCAATTTTGATTCTGGTATATGCGAGGTACACTTGATCCGAATTTGTTGTTGTATGATCCAGAATTAG